AAAAACAAGGCGCCAGACCAAAACAAATTCAAATGAAATATTCAGAACCAACTGAATCTGAACCAAAATCTTCAGTAAAAAAGCCAGATGAAGTCGAAAAACAAAAGGAAATGAAAGGTGAAGGTGAGTTGGTAAAACAGGTACAATTTCCATCAAAAATTCTTCATTTCACTTTTTATAATTATTGCCCCAAATATTTCCTAGTTGGAAGACCTATAACTTCAATGGCACTTGTTCTCTATTGGCCAGGAGAAAAATGTAAGAGGACGGAATGTGCTCTACCAGTCGGTACACCCTTTGTCAAAGAAGGCTTTTTCTTGCATGGATATTGGCCACAATCAACAGGAAACAACAACATGTTGTGTTGTCAGACTAAAACACCTCTTTCACTCGCTGAAAAAATTATATTTGGAGATGACACTTTGAAAGACCTTATTTATAGAAATTGGATGTCGATTTCAGTTTGTGCCGTTTCTCTTTACCAATACGACAAACATGGATCTTGTGCACAAAAGATTTTTGAAGGGCCAAATGGTATCAAAGATTACATGAGAACAACTATTGCACTATACCAAAAATACAATTTGTGGAAAATATTACAAGAAAGCGAATTACAAGTTGTCACAAACAAATTGTATAACATTGAACAACTTAAAAAAGTTTTGCGTAGAGAAATTGGTTGTGAGGTGATATTTACTTGTGTTGAAATGACATCAATTTTTGATGTTAAAATGTGCTTTGATCCAAATTCAAATCCATTTAACCCAACTTTCATAAAATGTCCAGATAAAAATTACAGAGAAGAGAAAAGAAGGTGTAGCAAAGAAGTTATGTTTGAGGAGTTTCCCAAATATTTGCTCGATCCTGTTACTTCCCCAAGGAACAATTGTCCTTATTGATTAAATATTTATTTGATTGTAACTTTATAATTGTTATTTACATATTATGTTTTTAAAAAGTGGTTATATTTTTATAATAACAATTTCTCATTGTATTATATTCCTTTTTTAGCTATTGAATTAACAATATTCCTTTATTAATTATAAACAAAACTTTTATTATAAATTAAAAAAGGGGTATTGTTTATACAATAGCTAAAAAAAACATATTATTAATTTGTTTGTAAATTTGGCTTGATTTAAGCTTTGAAACAATAAAAGTATATTTCAAATAATGCTGTACAGTAATCCCTCCCAAGAGCGGGAGGGTGTGGTAACTTAGTTCTCTTGAGAGCATTTTTAGCCAATCAAACCTTAAATACCACTCAATAGAGAACTCTATTTTTAATTTCTGTTTTAAAAATGCCTGCTCTTGAGAGATACCGCTCTTCAGAGGTTTTACTGTATTATTATCATAATTGTTATGAACAATTAAATATTAAATTAATAATATTTATTAAATAAATAAATATCATAATCAATATTAATTATTATTATACTATAATATAATATTAATATAATTATACAATAATAATACTAATAAGTATAGTTTTTTTGTTAAAAAAACTATAATGTATTATTCTAAACTATAATTCAACTACCAATTATAATTAAGTAGTAATAAATAGTAATTTACAACTATTTAAATTAATAATCATTTTAGTAAGGGATGTCAGTGAAAATAACCAAACGGATCTTATACGGGAACGAAGCAACACTTTTAAAGAAACAAATATTAAACAACACCCACACGTGGACACTATTTGTTCGAGCTTTTGACGACGAAGACCTTGAACTGTACAACATGATCGAAGTAGTCATATTTCACTTGCACGAGTCCTTCTCGAGTCCTCATCGGCGTAAAGAACAGCCACCTTTTGAGATAACAGAGAATGGATGGGGCGAGTTTGAGGCACTGATAGAAATAGTCTTTAAACATAATATGGGCTCAATCACACTTAAACACTTCATCATGTTGTTTAACCAAGACAAGACAAAGAAGAACTACGTCTCACACGTCTGCTTCGACCAAGTCGTCTTCATCAACCCACAAGAAGAGGTCTTTAAACTACTGAATTCCCCGGCGGTCTACCCTAATTGGAAGGCCGGAAATGCTCTTAAAAATGATGACCTGTTTTTGGAGGAAAAAGACGCACTCAAAAAAGTCCAAGCTAAATTGCAAAACGAATTGCAAACGGTCGAAAGCGAATATCATAATCTGCTGGGGTTGGTGTGTAAGAAAAAGAATTTATTGACTGAGTAATTGTTCGTTTGTATTTAATTGATTATCAAAATGGTGTGATTTTTAACTTTAAATTACATTAGAAAAAATCTGGTTTTAAATAAATGGTATTACATTATAATTTCTGGTTTATAGATTAAACTGGAAATAGAACCCCTTAATAGTAGTTTTTTATCTTTCCTTAAATATCTGTTTTAATTTTGATTGGTTGAAAAGTCTCTTAATGAAGGGATATACAAATGAGAAGTTTTACTATTTTTTTAAAACAACTAAAAATAAATTTGGTCATTCTTATTTTGAATTATTAAAAAAACAATGACTATTGGGTTGTAAAGGTAATTAAAATAAATTAAAACAGCATTATTTGGTTGTAAAAGACTGGTATAAAATTCACACTAAAAAACAAGAACTTTAATATTTTATTAAAAAATTGTTTTTGAAGTATTTTAATTTTATTTTATTTGTAATAAATACAATTCAAAACAAAATAATGTTCAATTATTTAAAATTTTAAACGTATCATTGATACATTGAAATGTTGATTTATTATAATAATGATACTGTTGAAAATTTAAGTAATATTTTTATGATAAATTTATTTGATATAACATATAAATCATTATTTTTTGTGTTATTTATTAAAATTCAATTACAAACAGTTTTTAAACACATTTTATTATTACAGATTACATGTTATTAATAATGTTACATATACAGTTAACGGAAAAAGTGAATTGCTGAGAAAAAGGAAGATGCTAATCTAAATATTAATTAATTTAATAATATTAATAATAAATAATTAATATAAATTGATTTTGGTTTTTTCATTTTATTAGTTTTTTGATTAATAATTTATATTAAAATTAATAGTAATTTTATTATTTTTCAATTAATATTAACCAATAGTTAAGAGCATCCTCTTTTCTCTAGCATCCCCATATTTCCTTTTACTCTATAAGTATCAGAAATGTCAGTTCGTCAAAAAATAATAAGGTTTAAAAGTTAAATGGTTTTGAGTATTCATCTTAAAATGAGTGTTTAAAATTTTTATAATATAAATAAAAAATATTAATGTAAATAAAAAGATAAAATGGTTGTTTAATTTTAAATAAAATAATATTTGAAAAAAAATATTTACAAAGATGAATAAAATGATACTGTTTGGTATACTTTGTCATCTTTTATAATATATATAAACAAAAAAATATACTCGTTATTAAAGAACAAAAAATGTCAAACCAGTTACAATCATTTTATCTATTGAATGTGTTTCTACATCTCACAACAAGAAAAGATGTTGTTAATTTCATATCAATCAACAAAAAAACTTTATCTGTATCGTATTCTGTTCATGTGAACCCAACCTTCTCCTCGATTAATATTATCATTTGGTACATGAAACATTTTTCGCCGTCTACAATTAACTTCAACTCGTTACAAATTAAGAATTGGAATGTTTCTAGTTCAAAAATCAATGAAGTGAGTTTTTTCAGAAACGTGATAATCGACAAAAACTTTCCACCCAAATATTTAGACAAAGTTGAGAGTTGTAAAATGATTATTTTCAATACCA